CGGTAAGTCTATCCAGCCTCTCATGGAGCTGCTGCATCGTCCATCTGGGTGGTGCGTAATAACTGCATATGAAGATTCCGTTAATTTTGGCGATCACTAAACCTTCTTCTTGAATGGGGTATTTGCCCATAACATGTATTGCAGCCATTCCAGCTCTATCATCTACCACCTAGTTACCGTTACCAGGAGGGACTCGATTCGGTTCCGCAATGATTTCAACGTCGCACTTTGTTTCCGTTGTCGACTTCCACAATAGCTGTGCAGTGTCACAATGATTGAGGTTTTTTGGGAACTCCGTCACTGTTTTGCAAATTGCTTACGAATTCATGCTTAATATCCAAAAAGTTCAGTAAAATCTGCAGACTGACAAAATCGGGAAAAAAAAAACTGAAAAAATCGGGGTTAGACAAAATTGGGAGCTGACAAAAACGGGAAAGCACTGTATTCTTAATAATTTCCTTGGTACACTCTTCAGAATGACCGTCACACTCCTCTCAGACTTATCAGATAATTCCCTTTGAACTGCTTTATAGTAGGTAAGGTCAGAAATGTTTTGAAATCCTCTTCAGTATTTCCTAAGTAATCAAGTACTTTGCAAAAATAACCTTAAAAGTCCCCCAGAAATTTCCAGATGTTCTTTTTGCATAATTCCGTTTAAATATCTTAAATTTTTTTAAAAAAATAAATCTTCATCTCCAAACATTGGATAGAAATACATTGAAATTTTATTCTCGCGATTCATATCAGCGTACTCCTTAAGTTTCATCTTAAGAATTTTCTAACTATTTCCTTTCTTCACAAAATCTCCATGCAATTGTCATCAGAGTTTTTAAAAGAAAATTGGCTCCGTATTCAACCAGAGGATGATCAGACAACTGATAAAACACCACACCAGTAGGGAAATTTCAAGATTACGAAAAGTAACACCGGCTGGAGTGGGAATCGAACCCTCACTTCGTGACACTCACAACACGCCTGAATGACGGGTGATGCTGTACAACCACGAAGCCCAAACATATGGATGGAACTCTACTCAGAAATAACTTGAAAATCTCCTTTGGTTTCACAAGAAATTCACTTCACACTTCACTGTGAACTATTTTGATAATTACCTTAAAATTCTGAATTATAGGGCAATTCAGAATTCTAGAGTAATTTAGACTGCCAAGGTAACTCAATATGCACAGGTACTTTAAAAAATGTCAAAAAATATCAGATGCCTTTAAAATTCTCCTTAAAAATCTCACGAACATACTTCAAAGTCCTGGTGATTGTCTAGATTTAACAGCCTTGCTAATTTTCCAAAGCTCAATTTATTGTTTTCAATCCTAAACTGTTTTAGATTTCTATAAACCCAGGATTTAAAAAAATCCAAGATCTAAGCAAAAACTCCAAATAAAAAAAAATCCAAGTGCGATATTTTTGAAAGTTTGAAGTTTTATTTCAACCAATAATCTTAAGAAAATGTCTCAATTTTCATGATTCTGGAACTCATTGCAATCATTTAGTAACAATTCCATGTACGATGTTGCAATAATATCCAACGTTAATGGCCTTTACTAATGAAAGTAGTAAGTTTCGCTTTTTATTTTTCGATTACACACTTGATTTTTTTCGCCGAGATTCCAACAGCCGAGCAGTTCTGCAATTTATTTTGCAGAGATTCAGTTACACAATTGCCGAGACTCAGCTAACAAATAATATTTTGCCCTGATATCAGCTAACAAACAAATATTTTCAGAGATATCAGCAAAAGTAAATGCCGAGGTAATCGGCTGTTGGAGATTTTACCGTACTAGATTAAGTGTGTAGATGGTCCATCAATTGCAGTGATATTTTTAAAGCAACATATTAAAAAAAAATGGGAGAATCGGGAAAATATTTAAAAAATCTGGATATATACGTAATCTGGCTGTGTATCTCGTAAGACGACTGAAAATCTGGAAAATCCAGATAAATCTGAAATACTTGCAACGCTTCTCGTAATAAGGCTGTCCACGAGACAGTTGCGATCAGCTGACTTTTTTGTTTTTCCAAGAACTTTTGACAGATCACAGTAGAACCAACAATCAATACGAAAATAACGATTTTAAATTGGCTCACTACTTGACTAGCCTATTGGTCCCAAGCAAATCGATTAGCGTATCCCATTCTAGTCAAAATTCTAGTACAACACAATGTTTGTTTTGATTCGCAATAAAAGTTTGACAGATAAAATGAGGGGTTAGTGGATTTTCCTATGTTCCGAGGGGTGAACCGATTAGCTTGGGACCGAAAATAGAACCAGAGCTGAGCCATAAAGTTGATCACGTTTCTTCGGGACCTTCTGGTCTTAGAGTTACCTCTATGGTAGAACTGGCTGTTTATTCTAATATGAATTTCTGCTTTGTTTATGTTTACATTCAGCACCATTAACACCAGAGGACTCACACACTCTAGATTTCTAGCTGTCAGTTCCACTGAGAAACGTCTCTTGGATTACCTTTTAAGGGCCATTATGAACGAGTGCACCGATGAATATGAGTTCATTCACTCGAGAAAAAGTGACACAAGCTGCGGGAAATTCTTACTAATCATCAACACTAAATGATTATTAATCATTATTCATGAACATTATGTGTTCATGAATACTAAACATTGCCCACAGCTTGTGTCACTTTTTATCGAGTGAGTGAACTCAAATCCATCGGTGCACTCGTCCATGGACCAACGCGCAGAACACAGCTTTCAACGCATACGTCAGAACAGAGAATGTTTTAGCTGTGTTGGTGGTAATATGATCTTTGAACCTCAATGTGTGGTGCACCGAATAGTGATATTTGGCCTAGTATTCGGTGTTTACATGTGAAATTTTGCTGATATTCAGCCATTTTCTTACAAATGAGTGGCCGACAAAACGAGTAAAATTTTGTTAACTCAAAGCCTGATATTGGGCACATTGTATTACACGATGAACATTGATATGAGAAGCGAACGGACTTCAGTTGAAATACGTAATGCTCTCTGTAGAATAATTGTCATATCAAATTGAAATGCATATGGTATTGGTTCAGCCCCACAACGTAAATCATACAAAAAATTCGCGGAGGACGCTAGCACGCTTATGCAATCACAAGAGTTAATGCGTCAAACGCAACGTGGCCATCAAAGCAACACGGAAAGTAACAGTTCCTAGTTGGATTGACATGCGTATAATTTCCTGCTTCACAGTAAATTTCTCGGCATAACACAGTAGCTTATGCTACGTGAGTCAGATTTATATTCTGCGGTACTAAACGATTAGCTAACTTCGTTTTTCCACCAGTATTCGTATGTTCTCTGTAAGGCGTTACTCATTTACCGACCATGTGTTTGAAACATTTCTATCGATTTTTATTACACTCAAGTTGTTATCTGAAGGCAGGCATCCAGTCGGAAAATAGATACAACTGTTTCAAACACATTGTCGGTACATGAGCGAGTCGGCGATCATTTATTTTGCCAATGGTGGCGGGGGAGGGGGGATATCCCTCACCATCCCTCTCTAACGAGGGAGTTTGGTAAAGAGAGATGATCAAAACCGATTTGTACCTTCCTAACAAGTTGTCCTTGCTCGCTTGCTTCTCTCTATATACAATGTTCACACTGCCGTACTCTAACGGAACTATCACCTCTATACTTTCATCTCCTCATCTATCGTATAAAAATTACCACTTTAGTCTGTTATTTGCAATTAGCATCTTTAACTATCATTTAATCAAATTGCATGAATTGCAGTTCCCCTCTAAGGAATGTCCACTCATGTAGAGACACTATACACTTGTCATACAGAAATCAATAAGTTTCCAATACGTTCAGCCAATTCATTCCATTTGACCCTAATACGCTACCTGTTCGTTAACATCCGGGGTTTGAATCCGAACCGTTCTCTATTATAAAAGAGTAACCGAAAATTATATATGAGCAAGATAGTATATTGAAATAGCATGATAAGGAAATTAACTCTAACAAATGTTAAACACTATGAAAAACTTATCTAAATTTCGATACCCTGAGACTGAAATATTCGAGCGAAACTGTGGATACAAAATTGGGTCGTAAGAGCATGAGCATAGTTGACCGCCCGCGGTTGCTATTATATTAATGCCATATCACCCGTAATTACACAGAGAACCAACAGACGACACTTGGGACTAGCTATCACCCTCAGTGCATAAAAACTGGTGATCTCAAACGTTATAATAGGCAATACCAGTGCCAGCCACGTCCGAAAGCAGGTCAATTAAGGAATGGGCCGCATCTACGAGGTTAGGTTAGCAGCAGGGTTCGTTTTGCCAAACGAAACGCTGCATTAACTGACAAAACTCCAAGGCTGCAAAATGCGTGTCGATGCATTTTGTCATGGCTGGTTCTCGGCAATGCGATGATTAATCGTTATGATTAAGCCACCATTCGAAAGGTGTGGCTATCTACATGACAATCATATTGATGCTCATCAGCTGATAACGTATTCAACCATAAGGAAATCATCCGAAATCCGAAAGCATATTGGAGCAATGCAATAATCATTCGAAGCATTGCGGATATTTTCGTTCAGTGTCAACTTTGTCTCAGACGTCATTTTGATCAGAAGTAAGGTTCACGTGCTACAATATATTAGAAAAGGTCAAAAATACCAGTTTAAAAAAAATTCCATGATAAAAAATTACAGATTTTTAGCAAAAATGTAAATGTTTGCCCATAACAAAAAGTTATGCAAAGTTTCATTCAAATCGGAGAAAGTCCAGTCAAACATATTTTTTTTCCTATTTGACCTGCGGATTACTATGGACCAGAGTAAACCTCATCATCAAACAATTTGCGCGACCCCATTAAACCTTTATCAATATTTACTTTTGTTAACGCAGACTTATATGTTGAGGCTATAAACCAAACTGGATGGTGACAAATAAGGTTGCAAATATTTTATTCCAAAATGAATCACCCTAATGACCATGTATTGAATATTGATAATCTTTCAGCACATACGACCCATTTTACGTAAACCTGGACGCTCAAATGAACAATGTAACGACGAATATCAAATTCACGTTGGAAAACTACGGTCCGAGTAACGTAAGAGAAGCATTGGTGTCGTTTTTCATTCCAATGATGTTCAAACAATCTCAGCTAATTGATCTAAGGGCAGATAATTTAGAAGTAAGTGATAAATGAGCATGTTCAGTCTATATTACCAGTAATGACACACAAATATCATCCACTTCTTCCACAATAAGATACTTTACAAAGGAAAACCTCTAGGTTGGACCGAGTCTGCACTAACATCACTGTCCATGATCAACCAAACCAAATCGCCCATCAAATCCTACAGTTCCAACGAACAATTCCTAATCCAGAAGAAAGGCATCACACTCAGCTGCTTCAGCGAATACGTCATCTGCAAGAATGTGTCATTTCTTCCGGACGAGCTTCCCACAATGAATGAACTGGTTCGGATTGAACTCCAGCTGACGGCATTCCCCCAAGCGATGATTCAACTGATGCCAGAAGAGGTCGAGACGCTTGCATTTCATATCGCGTTCGACTTGGGCAATCCTCATAATCAAGTGACTCTTAGCACCAGTGGAAGTCTCGTATTCTTTCGATCCGTTCAAATCATTCCGCTATGGGTTTACGTGGCATCTGCTGTTCTGGGAATAGCGATACTGACGGCGATTACGTATGCTCTCTATAAGGTTGGCATGGGCTCTAGTGACGGTTTTATCAGTTCTTTCATAAAATGCATACATTTTTTATTGCAGAGCAACTTTTTCAAACGTATGACCGAAGCTGACATGGAGGAGAAGTTGACCAAGGGGGTAAGTGTAGACAATAATTATGATAGCGACAATAATTAGGATAGGTTCTGGGTTGGATGGGTTCTAAAAAAAAGATGCGAAATTTGTATTGTCATTAAAAGTTATTTACGAAGACCTGCTTTTAGCAATATATAACAAGATAAATTACGATTACACAACAAATGAGGTCGACTCAAAGTTGAGATTAGTACAATCACTCATATTCTTGAAAACGTAGTTAACTCATAGGCAGAGTAAAACTTTCCGAGCTTTTACAGGAATATGTTTTCTAATATGAGAAACATCTCGATGTACGTATGGAATTAATATACTTCTAGAATAAGTAAATTTTTCGTCAATTTTTGTGATATTCGAAAAAAATTATGATGCTCGGAAAATTTTGCACAGTAAATTACGTTTACTAGAGCTTGAGTAATTTAAACTTAAGTTTTGAGTCGATCTTACGTGCCATGTAGTGTGAAAATTTGTTAGTTACTTAATACTGGTCATTCTGCACGCCAGCAGCGGGGAAACGAGCACATCTTAGTGAGAGATTCAATTTTCCACCACCTAAATATGGAGGAATCGACAATCAAAAGAGCAATTTATAAGCTGATTAATACGATTCTAAACGCTTCATGCTCAAAAAGTGTTGATGAATCAGGATTAGGGTTGCTGAAACGGTCCAAATAGGAAGGAATATCCAAATAAAAGATCATGGAGAAACGGAGAGTACTGTACAACGAAGCCAAGTACGATGAATTGGCGCTGATATATCTTATTTTAAAACTGTATTTGTAGAATCCTTACAACAGTGTTAGTGTTTACTTTCATTGTTGTAACGATTTTACAAATACAGTTTTAAAACAAGATATATCAAGCAACAACTTTTGGCTGTGTCATCCAGACTAAAGTTTTAAAAAAACACTAGTTAACTCTACTTAGGTCTAAACCCAACTGAGACTGATTTATTGAATTCTTTTATAACCAAACCTGCCGAAGTCCTATCAATCAGCTGAGTAAGATAAATTTAAAGACGGAATGTGGTCGCCGTGTTGTTGTTGCAAAGGCGATAAAACTGTGTGTCGTTAGTTGGTGGTGAAACTGCTGAGGTGTCTTCGATCGTTGGCAGTTGGAGAGAGAGAGAGAAGGATTAGTAATTTCCATTTAATTTCACTACCTTATTTACTTATCCTTGACAGATACGCGTATTTCGTCTACAATCTGCAGAAGTCTGCACATTGTAGACGAAATACGCATATATGTATGTCAAGGATAAGCAAAAAATGTAGTGGAATTAAATGGAAATTACTAATCCTTCTCTCTCTCTCTTTATACAATTTTGTTCCAAGACCCGGATAGACAAATGGCATGTATACATTCAAGTTCGTATTAGTGTAACACACTCAATTTTCGCTGAGATGGCTGGACCAATTTGAGTGGAACAGATTCCAGAAGATGTGCTTTAGATCTCCATATATTACTATTGATTTTTTTTTTTCCGATCGGGATGATAGTTCCGAAGATATGAACAAAAATGTGAATTCCAGATTCCACTGGGGAATTCGCAAAAGATTGATATTTCAAAAACTAATCATGCGACACTTCAAATCACATTAGAATTTTACTATAAGATCAATGGTGGACTTATTCAGACCCAATGATCACAATGGCCTCTTTCAGATGTACCGGGTACCCCCGGGAAGTGGACAGATTCTGACATGCACCGAAATGCATCGTGCGATTCCTCAAATCACATGGAACTCAACATAATGATTAGTACAAGTATTTATATTTATTTACTTATCTTAAAGCTTACCTGATCCTTTGAAAAAGTTCGTTATGGGGTTTTCTCTCGGATTCCCTTTGATTTTTATCGATTTTTTCCACATTTTTACGACTCTTATTCAGGTACAAAAAGGCGAAAATGGCTGCTTCGTTCAGCACTAAAAATGCATAAAATGGGGGTGCGTGTTCTCGAATAAAAAGATGGAATAGGATGGAAACACACTGTCCATTTCATTCACTTTTTCAGTGACAGTGACTATAGACAGTCAAGTTATAGACCGGCCAACGTGAGTTGACGTATCCAAACAAACCGTCAAATCGTATGGAAAATGTTCGTTTTGGATACAACATGGCAGCTCATTGACAGGTTAATGACCGTCTATAAAAGTGACAGCTCGTTCGTGTGATGGATTTGAAAACGCGAGAATTTCTAATGCGTGTTGCAAAATGTATCGCACGTGTAATTTGATTAAAGCTGTAAAACAGTGTGAGCAAATAAATTTTAAATTTTTCCCTAGATTACAAAAGTCTGTAGATGTCTATGAAAAATCTAAAAGGTCTGTAAATGTAACGAAAAAAATGTCTGTGAAAAAAATAAAAGTCTGTAAATTTACAGACATGTCTGTAAATCTAGCATCTCTGCTTGGGACTAGCAATCATCCTCAATGTGTAAAAACTGGTGATCTCAATCTAGACAATACCAGCGCCGGCCGCGCCCAAACACAGGTCAACAAAGGAAGGGGCCATGGTCATCTGGGAGGAGGTTCGCGTCTAGTGCTTTCCCCAGGAACCGTTCACGGCCACCAGCTACCACCCGTCCAGTCTTGGGCGTATCAAGCGAGGCATCCTTCAGCTTACTCACAATCTCCGGCACTGGCTTGAGACCAGCAGACGAGCACTTTTGCAAGCCGTAAACTCGCTGATTCTCGGCAACGTCGGCCACTAAATCACCACCAAAGTTTATTGAAAAAAATATCATGCTTGATATTGATTTTACAAGCTCCTTTGAAATTGCGAGACTATTCACAACGTGCAAAAATCAAGCTAAGAGTTGACTCGACACAAAAATGATTCCATTGCGCATCGTTTTCTTAGAAAGAGAAAGCATAGTTTGCTATCTCTTTTTAATCTTCACCGATGGCAGACGCGATGGGACTGCTGCAAGCCGTTATGGAAGTTTCGGTTGCATTCGGGTGTAAAGCAAAAATCACTAAACTCAATCTCACCACAGTTTGGTGAGATTTGTAGCTGGTGAGTTTTGTTAGCTTGATATTCTGAGCTACGATATCACAGCTTGCAAAATCAACCGCAGTTGTTTGCTTGTTGATTTTTGTCTACGAAAATCAAGCATGATCTTGGGCGTTGGTGGGATTTGATTTTTTGATATTTTCCTAACACTGCGACGGACACATTATTAGCACTTTCCCCGGTTAACTTACCAATGTTCAAACTCGCACATGGTGACGAGAATCTCGATAGAACTACACGCCGAAAGCGTGACATCCGTACACGGTGAACCGGCTTCCCGGAAGACAATGAAAATCACAAGCACACTTACACATCGCTGGCTACAAAAAAACACACCCGTGCAAAGAAACGGATCCAATAAACGTCACTCTCGCGAAAACAAAGCCGTCGTCTTCGAACGGCATAAAAAGGAACTCGGTGAGCATTTTTAAGATACGGAATTTCCACTGAAAATCAACCGGGAATGCACGAATTTCACCACACCCAACTGTGAAACACGCTCAGAAGTACTTTTGATACACATTCGGTATCAATTTCCTAAAAGATCAAATACAACAAAATGTCAAATGCATAAAAGGTACGAAGAAATTTAAAGGGTGAAATAGTAAACGATTAGAAAGGACAAATGATCGAAAAGAATTTGATGATGAATTGGACAGAATGTCAAGAAACAAAAGATCGAAGGAAAATAGTTTAAAGAGTGGTTCCACGTGGAAGCGATGGAAAAGTAATATTAAAACGATGAAATGCTCCATAAACCGTGCAAAAATGCTCTTGTACTGCGTAACTACTAAGATTTACTGTCCTGCGCATGTTTTTTTTTTATAGTCAGAAGAGCGGAGCGACGGGCAAGCATACATAATAACCTTTCAAAAGAAGCTTCTTTATGAGTATTTTTCAGAGGCTTCTTTTGATGCGTACTACTTTTCGTTCGTTTCGTTCAAATATTTAAAGAAAAGTTCTTGTTCTTCGATTTTTGTCAACTTCCATAATTTTAAATATATAATAAATTGCTTTTTTCGTGAGATTTTATTTTATTTTTTTTTTAATCAGACAGGGACATCTTGAGATATTTAGCTGTTAAATATTGTATTAGAATCATTACTTGAATTTACAAAAAAAAGGTTTTGTATATTTTTTCAGCAGAACACTACTTTTCTCTACAACTTTGTCTCAGACGTCATTTCGATCAAAACTGTCGTTTCTGAGCCACAATTTTTAAACAAAATTTGTGGTTGCCATTTAACAATTTGATAAGATCCAAAATGGCTGAATAATAACAAAAATATTGACTTTTATTGCCCATAACAAACAATTACGCAAAGTTTAATGCAAATTGGAGAAGGTCGAGTTTTTCCGATTCGTCATTTGGCGTGTGGAACTGCTGGATAAATTCTAAGATTATTTAAGGAACATTCAAGAATCTATAATGTTCAAACAATTGTTTTCTATTACTACTTTAAGATCGTCTATTTCAAGTTTTCAATTTAGTTGCTTTTTTGTGGTTTTACCGGCGAAAAAATATAATTCTATTACTACTTTTTAATTTTCAATTGCTACTTTCCACTACACCGTTTAAAAAAAGTAGCACAGAACAGAAGGGGAAGTGCAAACAAATCGATGAATAAAAAAGTAGAAGGGTCTGTGCCTAGGGGCACGAACGGAAGCTTGACGTAGGACCGCTAGTGGACGGAATAAATGTGAAGAGCATTTAGTTCTTTTAATTGATCAATTATCTATTATCTCAACTCTTTCCGTTTTTGAATTGTAGGCGTACCAAATTTGTAGTAAACTTTTTCAAAGCGAAAGTTGATTAAGAGAATCAATAAAAATCACTGCTTCCAAGTTTGGTTACAAGATTACAACTCTGGAGAGCATTTTGTGTGGTCGTTGGGGGCTTGTGGTTCTGAATATGGACAAACAAGCACAGATAAATTCTATTCCTACTCTTTACTGATGTAGGCTTGATGGCCCTGAAAAGGGCCGTTTTATTGAAGAGGACTTGGCGTGTTTAGTGTAGGTGACAGCATCACAGACCTCATTTTCCAGGAACACCTTCAGCACACCTCGTAGATCAGACCGGAGATACTTTTGAAACCACCACCACGGCGAGCCAGACGACCGATTGCAGTTATCTCGAAGAACTTTGCGATGACGCTTGGCGCCTCCTTTACCAGACCTTTCCTCCTTTGCCACGACCAGTCAATTGTTGCTTGTTAGGTGTGAAGGAGTGGACTAGCCACCACCTTCCTACTGCTGCTATTGCTGTTCACCACGCCAACATTGATCGATTCTCTTCATCGACACTCTCTTTCGTAAATAACTCGGCTTCACAAATGTTTCCTGCCGTCTTCGTCGAATAAGATGCTAGATTGTTGTTTCTTCCATTGAAAATATCCGGCCGTGGCGATTCAAAATTGATCAAGGTTGATCAAAATAATTGGTACTCTGCTTGCAGTTTGATTACATGAGCATTTTGTGTGATCGTTGGTTCTGAATATGGACAAACAGGCAGATGAATTCTATTGCTACCTTTCACTGTAATAAGCTTGGTGGCCCTGAAAAGAGCCGTTTTATTTCCAAAGTTACCTCCGAAACCAAACAGAGTGCGTCTCTGTCACTTCAAAACGTAGATGACATCCATGGCCGCTTACGCTTGGCGGATCTCATTTTTCAGGAACACCTTCAGCACACCTCGTAGATTAGACCGGAGATACGTCAGACACCGCCACGACGAGCCAGACGACGGATGGTGGTTATCTTGAAGAATTTGCGTTTGGTTCTGAATATGGCGATGAGTGTGCAAAATATTACGCAATTCTATCCTCCCTATTCGCACGCGCCCGAGGATCGGAGGCGAATGCCACTTCGACTTGTTTCGTCTACTTACTACTCTCTGACGACTGTGCTGGGGAAGCAGCATATGCATGTAGGTAATTGGTGGATTTGTTAGTTAATTCGCTTTTGGACAATGCTGGACATTTACCATTTTTTCAATAGTTTCTTGTTGAAAATCAAAATTCGGAAGCACTGTTATCAATGCGTAGCCATATTTCTGATCGATTGGTGATAAAATTATTGAAATTGGACCAGGGGCAGCTGAGTTATTAACGTTCAAAATCTTTCTTAATTTGTTACATGTTCCATTTTCGGTTTTCACAAAGTGTACCCCCATATAGAAATCAAAGACGTAGTCCTACGTCAAAAAGTGGTTCGTTTTTCTGCTCAACAAGCAATGTGTTGTGGTAGCGCTCCACATGGGCTTTCTATGTGCACTCACACTATCATAGCATGCTGCCTATCTTAACTGCAGGCAGAAGATGCCTTCTACCGCTAGGTGCGCTAGTGTTCGCAAATGACAAGTGGAGTCACTTTCTGATCCGAAGTTCCACTCGTGTAAAAATAGTGTAAATTTCTGCCACTATAATGCACATAAAAGGAGCGCCATATAGGGGAAATGGATGCAATGTCGGCCTGAATGCCTCTAATATGGGTTCATACATAAATTCAACAATCGACTAAATTTTCAATGGCGACCAACAATGTCCATTAGTACCGTCCCAATGACGCGTTCATCTAGATAAAATTAATAAACAGCAGATTTTTAGCGATGGGCCCAATCTTAGATCCATAGGCCAACATAAGAGCCATTTCCCCTACACACTAAGATTTTTTTACAGTATACCGTAATTTTTTACTGACCAGGACGGTAAATTTTGTTGAATGATCGGTGAAGTTTGCAACATAGCGTTCGGTATATTTTTTACCGAATTGACTGTACTTAATTTTCCTGAATTAATCATTAATAACATGATTTTTTATTTATTAATTAATTATTTACTTCTAACAACAAACCTGAAGATTCATTTTACTCATAAATCATTTATTATTTACAAACATATATTTTCATCGTGCGTCCGTATATAAAGTAGTAAGAACGTGGTTAGCGACCCAGTTGTGGACGAGGTTTGTGTTGGACATTATGCCATTCAATATCCATGGCGCCTGAAAGCAATTGGCCCAGGAATAAAAAAACGAATTATATAATTAATACTTTCGATGTAAATTGGATGAATTATAGGGAAAAAGTAACGTACTTACTAGTCACAACGGATAGCCGAAGAACACTCAACTTCAAAATTACAGCAAAGGTTGAGCTTTACAGTATGAAGTTTACAAATCTGTTCTGTATTTGTTTACAAAAATCTGGTACATTACTGCTGTTTGTTTTTGTAAAAGATTATGTTTACAGCACATTCGTCACAATGTTTACAGTATTGCGGAATTGCAACCATTTCCATTTTTGATCAGTCATTTTGATTTACAGTTTTCGGTAAATTTCTATAAATTACGGAAATTCAGATTGCGGAAAATTGGCAACACAATACTTATTACAAAGCTTTCGGTGAAAATTATATTTTACAGAACTAATCCAGCAAAAAAAGTACCGAACAAGATTTAAGAAATTTGGGTGTGTATATTGCTACTTTTCAATAGCTGCTAGCGCATGAGCATGTGGTTTATTAACAATTATGATCGTGCTAAATGCAAGGTGTGAATTATTTAGATGTCGTTTATATTTTTGCCTTTACTTACTTACCAACTGACCGACCATGAATCATCATTTTCACTTTTCTTTTCAATGTCTCTATTCCAGGATGCTCCTCCCAACGTTTTCGCCGATGGAAGCATAATGATGATATAAGGAGCGCAGCAAATGCAGTTTCCTGAGAGATGTGTCATCAGAAAAAAATAGTCCAACACCCTGAAATGTTCTGCTCAATTGTATTTTATAATTTATTAATGTACTAAACTCTATTTACAAGAATCTCATTAGAAAGCATTCATTAGCATTCATTCATTCCATTAATGCTAAGCACCATTTCTAGTCATAAAACGCGCAGAAGCCATCACAAATACATGAAACTCTGTAAGGGCAACTCAAAACAAAAGTCGCTTGAGTAACATGGAAACTTCCTCTTCACATTGGTACAAACATACCAAAAGCCCCTCCAGAACTCGTGATGTGCTTTCTCAGTAGGCATCCCTTCCCTCGGCTATTCGGTGGGCTAAACAGTGCGTTTCTCAACAGTGGCGAATAGTCACATATTCTCAGGGAACTGTCGCGTTCCTTCCGCTAGTCAGCTATCCTCAAGAGTAGCCAACGTGTTGTTGCTGCTGTTGGTGGTCATGGCCACCCATCGGATGGAGCCCCTCATGTCACACCATCAGATTGATGAAGCCATGGTGGTTGAAAATCGAAGCCTTCGCCAGAGCACACTCCTCCCCCATCGATGTCCCTCCCGGGCTGTCGTTGCTGCTACTGTTGTTGTTTAAATCTGATCTCAGCCCATTGAATAGTTCTTGACCACGGGGCACTGCCAAAGACACAATCTGATTAGTTCCAAGCTCCTCCAGAATAGACGAATAAATCTCACCGTGCTTCTTCTGGCGGGCTCTCGAGTTCTGGAACCACACCTGGGTCACGCGCTTGCTCAGCCCCGTCGCCAGTGCTATCCGCTCCAAATCCTGCCCATCCGGATTACTATCGATCTGGAAGTTGGCCTGCAAGATCTGGATCTGCTCCTCGGTGAATGTCGTCCGTATCCGTTTGGTTTTGTTCTTGCCATTGCCTTCGGCGTCACAGCCATCCTCACTGGACGTCGTTCCGTCGTCAATCAGCTCCATGTAGTGAGTCTTGCACAGCACCCGGTCGTCAATGATGGCAAACTGTTCCCCCGTGGAGAGCTGTCGGCCGCACGAGTCGCACGCGAAGCACGCCAAATGGAACACGAAATCCCGCGCCCTCCGCACCCAATCCGACGGCGATATCGAACGGGAACATTTGGCGCAACTGGCTTTGAATTTCCTGTCGAACGAAGAGGTTGGATAGTGATTTATTGAGTAATAAATGGCGCATTGAGATGGATATGAGTACAGCAAATGGTTTACACTCACTTGATGTAATCAGTTTTGCAGTAGACTTCGCCATCCTTGAAGTAACAGGAGGCTTGCCGTTCCAAGGAACAGTAGCAGATGCTACATCGAAGGCAGGATCCGTGCCACGCACAGCCGCTCACTTCGAAGATATACCGATCGGTGATTTGCTCAGCGCAGCCCCCACAGGATTTGAACTCAGTCTAGGGAAGGAATAGAGAAAGGGTTGAAAGCATTGAGAGATGACGGTTAGGAAGAACTGTAATACATTTGCATACATTTTAGGCATTTATAGCGAATTTGTTTATTATTCAGTTCCAACCTGGATCGGGTATCAAGATAGGCTCTGCTTGTTTTCTGACAAACGTCAGTTTGATCGTTTGTTTTTAAAACCTATCTCAAGTTGAGGTTCGCACTGACAAAAAGTTCGGTTTCACACTGGGTTGGAATTGGTTCCAACCAGGGAGGCCAGATTATGTTTTTCATTATCGGTAGCTTCTCAAAACTTTTATCGGTAGTTATCGGTAGTCCGTCTTAAGAAGGCTTTCCCAAAACTTGAAACCTTTGACACAGTTTCAGAATAATACACTGTCCTTCAGTTGTTCTGCTTCAAATCTAAGAGGAAGAGGAGACAACTGGCTTTTATCTCTATCTCTATCTCTATCTTACACACTTCAAATCTGCCAATCACGAGCTGGTTCGCGTTTGACAGAAAAATGGTTCGGTTTCGCCCCCGTATTGTCTCCTCTTCTCTTACACACTTAAAAATTTTCGCCGAGATTCCAACAGCCAAATAGTTCTGCAATTTATTTAACTGAGATTCAGTAAAACAATTAACCACTTTGTCAAGCAGTTTTGGCGTGACTTTCTACCAGCGATTTCACAAAACTGGACCAACTTATTTCTATTTTTTTATGAAACGATCAAATTTTGGCTACTTTTCTCGTGGTTCTAAAAGAAAAAAAATCTCAGAATAATGTTTTATTTCAATGTTCGAGTGGTAGTAAACGTCATTTTAACTGCTCGAATGAAGTGGTTATTTGCCGAGACTCAGCTAACAAATATCATTTTGCTGAGATATCAGCTAACAAACAGATATTTTGCAGAAATATCAGCAAAAGCAAATGCCGAGGTAATTAGCTGTTGGAGATTTTACTGAGCTAGATTAAAGGGCCACCCACATTAGATCCGTTTGCGTTGCGTTGACGTAAATTAGACAGTTAGACAATAGATTTAGCTGTCACTTTGCCGCAACGCGTCCGATCCGGATCTAATGTGCGTGGGCCTTAAGTTTGTAACTTTAAACGTGTCGAAATCAATATTTATAATTCTAACTACACCGAAAACAAAACATTTTTCAAGAATACTAAAAGTCTGGGATTCTCGGTAGGAAAAGTGAAAAATCGGTAGTTCTTAACCTTTCGTCTGTGAATCGGTAGGCATCCCGAAAATCGGTAGGACTACCGATAAATCGGTAGGTCTGGCCACCCTGGTTCCAACCCCGATAATAAACAAATCTAGATAGAGCTGGAATTAGGGCGATACAGCTTTTGTAAACAATGATTTCTCTCGATGATTTCTTGAAAGCAATGGCTCTCATTGGCAAATCGACATCACTATCGAGTAGGGGAAGACTTCCTATACTCGATGAATATGTTGATTTATGTAGGCGTGCCTTGAATTCCTAGAAATCATCCAGAGAAGTCTTGTTTCCAAAGGCTTTTACGCCCTAATTCCAGCTCTATCTAGGAATTCGCTATTAGAAAGAACTGTGTAACAACTGTGTGCAAACTTATTAGCAAATGAGCAGTTCTAGGACTCTTGTCTTGCTAAATTTCCATCTTCAGTGAACGGGTGGAATCTCGTAAATTATAAGAGATATCAATTAACTTACCACGAAAAAAAAAATGTGTATTTCAATAAGCCCTCTTCGTGATACGTTACGGAATATAAGATCTACCACCGATTCCTAGCCCTGACTGCTTCAAACTAGGGGAGCAGAATGTTTTATTAATTAAAGGAACACATCTTAATTATTGTTACTTTTTGTGCCTTGTTAATAGTTGATAAGTTGCCTGGTTGCCGAGGATGGACGCACGCTATGTCTGAAGGCACTTTTTTGCAACTTTAATGTACCTCAGTTTTTTCATCACATGAAGTTAGTATTGACCCTAACAATCAAATCTGTGAAGGATTTAAAATATTTCATCTTGGGTTTTTTGAGAAAAAGTGATTTGAAGTATCTTCTCTTCATCTTCGCATTTCAAGCTTATTGCATATCGCATATTAGCTTATTGCATTCTCTCAACTTAGTGTACCATTCTTGCATTGATATGACTGTGTGGCAAGTACAATCATACTTCTATGCCCAGGGAAGTCGAGACATTTTCCAACCCGAAAAATTCCTAGACCGGACCGGGAATCGAACCCAGCCACCTCCAGCATGGTCTTGCTTTGTAGCTGCGTCTTTACCGACTGAGCTAAGGGAGGCCCCATGATTTGAAGTATACTTAGCCGTTTATAAAGGCGTATATGGACTATTGACGATACAAAACTGTTACGGATAGAAACAAATTCAGCTGAAAATGATTCAAAAGCAGATTAAAGTAGTCAAAATATTACTTTTCCCTGGAACAGTAAGATTCCCTCTTCGGTACCGTAATATATAGTAACTTTGTGATGTTTAAATTAATACATTAAGTAAACAATTGTTTAGTCTCCAAATTTACTATTATTACACTAGCTTATAGCATATTTGAACTTTGTCGCTGATGGTCATTTTCCATGTAAAATCGTGAACTGAATTCAAAAATGTAGCCAGAAAAATGTCAGTAGGATAGTTTTCTAGATACAGCTAAAACATTAAATGTCAACTTATAAAAGTTTGTTTACTAAACTACAAACAACTCCGGCTGTAATGAAGCTATATCCATTATTTTAATACCAAATTAAATGTGAGAAAATTTGATTTTGAGCAACTGGATACTATTTTTCAGTGCAAACAATTTGTATTTATATTTACCTTTGCTGAAATCCAATTTATCTTGGAAATATGCAAAACATAAAAAAAAACTATTAATTAACAACAATACCACAAATCTCACTGACAAATGATGTTCAGCTGTTCAGAATAAAATTTTATCATCTTTAATTTGACGTTCAAATAATATATCAGCCGGAGATAGGGGAAATGTCGGCTTCGGCAATACCTTAACCTATTATCATCAGGAGGCCCTAGACCACTCAAATTTGGCCAATAGATGCTCTGAAACACAATGTATCCACATGCTAATATAGAGCTCTCAAGGACGTTGTTTACCCCCCTGACGATAAAAGGTTAAGGTATTGCCGAAGCCAACATTTCCCCTATGTGTTTTAGTGAAACACTTTTTTTTAAGAGAAATTTAAGTTTTCAGCTGTATCTAGGAAACTATCCTACTAAATCGCACGATTTTACATAAGAAACATAGGTCAAACATTGTAGTTCATTTTTTCTGTTTGATCCATTTTTATCAATGCTTACATAAATATCTAAAGAGAATGATAAAAAAAACTTGGTGCTGCCAAGCAAAGGAGATTACTTCATATGAGCACTATTATACGGTACCACCGTTTTCAACAAGTTTTTGGTTGTATCTGACATTATTTTCCACTGCTTTATAGCTACTCCATGTTTGGCAAAAAACCAATATGAACAGTTTCGCTTGTTTTTACCGTGAACCAGGCTAAGACTTTCCATGTACTCTTGCAAAAATCTGTTATGTGATATTTTACAATATGGAATTTCGGGGCTACCGGAAGGTTTCCTTCAGATATAGCGTGTGACGATCAAGGAAAAAAATTAGTTATTTAGTCTTCATCTATGTTATTTCTAATCTTCTATTCGTTTTTTCCTAGTTTGAAGTGGTTGAGACTAGGAATCTGATGCATGGTCATTATCGGTGTCATTGCTTGATTTTTTCTTTTATTTTATTTTTTTTTTTTTTGCTAAGGAATACAATTTTGACTGACAAAAGGGCGTGTCTTTGGAGGGTGTTCCAACATTCCGAAGGGGATAAATAGCGGGACCTTTCAATTAGAATCGATTCCTTGCGATGACGGCTAGAATGACAACTGTATCAAAACCAAATACTTCATTATTTTGCAATAGCAATGGAGTAATACGACATGCACTAAACTAATAACACGGGATATACGACACTCAAAATAATTCACACGTTATTGTTACGTGAAAAATCACATAGAGTCACTTTTTTTCCGCTTCTGTCAAATTTACATGGTACAAGTAGAGTCTACGTGATACCACGTATGCATCAACGGAAATTCCCTTTGAAATCAGTAGATTTTTTTATAAAACGTACGTTATTTGCACATACACAAATTCTATGTGCATTTCACGTTAACCCTATGTGATTCCCACATATGAAAAAAATAAATGAGTGACTATGGTGGCATTGCAATGCGCATATTTACATACCAGTGAAAATCTAGACAATTTTGTTATCTATTTATTTGTGTGGAATAATTTGGTGTTGTAAGTATGATAACTAAAAAAAATATGTTAGAATGATTTTTAAGTTTGTTTTCTTGTTTCAGTATACCGACAATAAGTACCATGAGTATGCATGCGAGTTAAACTCCCTTACATCATATGGTTGTAATCCCGTTTCCGATACTTATCCCGCTCGAATTTATTTTCCACATGTGTGTAAATCGACCGCAATGAAGATATATTGGAATCAAGGAATACTTGTAATGAGAAATCAATGATACATTTTATTTAAAACGGAATTAAAATCATTGGTGACGATTATAAATTCCATCGACAGAATCACGTAGCTTCTACCACGTAGCTTCTAGTAACCATCTCGCTCACTGAAATGAGTGCTTCCATGTATGAATCACGTAACTCTTACGTGAAAAGTACGATGGAAAAAAATTATGTATGTTTTCACGTAGCATTGATGTGAAAATTATTTTGAGTGTACAATAGATCAAATTACTGGTTGCACCTGTGTTCAATATAATAGCAGCGCATGCCGATTTACATACAACATGGTCATCTTAGACATGATGTAACTTTGTTAACTTATGATCAAATGGGCTTAAACGTTCGTCACAGAACCACAAATATGTTCAATTTTACGATTACAAAATACCAAATTTTTGGAAGCATCTGCCGGAAAGTGAGACACTAGGTAAA